TGAGGGGAGGGACAGGGTCCGAGGAACCACTGACCAGCTACCAGGTCTCTCCAGCCTCCTCCTTCCATCCGGGAAAAAACAATCCTGTCAGATACCCCGGGGCTCCTCTCGTTCAACAAACAAATTAAAAAAAAATGTTTTTATTGTTTTTAGAGGGAGAGACAGAAACGTCGATGAGACAGAAACATGGACCAGCTGCCCCCTGCACGGCCCCCACTGGGGATCGAGCCCTTGACCGGGCCTGTGCCCTGACGGGACCCAACCGGGGACCTCCTGGTCCATGGGCTGATGCTCCACCGCTGGGCCGCCCTGGCTGGGCTCGTTAAAAACACGTTTACCGAGCACCTGCTGTCCCCAGGCAGGAGGGCCAGGAAGCTGGCTTGTCTCCAGGGAGCGTTTCTGATCCTTCGGGTTGTAGGGCAACGGTGACAACGGCAGGACACGGAGGAGAAATGTGTTCCTAAGGCGCACGGGGGTCCCAGGCTCCGAACCGTCCGGCGCGCGACTGTGCGTGTCCTCGCGTGGAGGAGGGACGCCAGGACCGCTCCAAAATGAAGCCGCTGCCCGGCTTGGCCGTGGGACCGCGGCCGTGTCGCCTACGGAGCAGCGTCACCTTGTCTGTAGCTTCGGACGCGACGACCAGTTTCCAACGCACCACGTCCCAGGTCCCAGGCAATCACCTGCACCTGCTGGGTCCCCGGACCTTTCTCCCCTTCTCTCCAAAGCTACTTTTCCGTTTTCTAAGATAATCTAACCTTCGGGGGAAAGGCCGTAAGAACTCTCACTTCCTCACAGGCGTCGGCTGTCATTTTAACACTGAACTTCACAGAATAGTGGGCTTTTCCTGCCCGCCCATTTCCGCAGGAGAGAAGTGAAGCCACCGAAAGAGGGACTCACTGCGATGCCAGGACCGACCCCAGAGAAACCACCTTGCTGGGTCATGACACCAGGTGCCCCTCCGGGTGAGTGCCCATGCCGTCGATGAGGTCACCAGGTCATCTCCCTTTAAAAATGTAAGAGGTGCCCGGCCGGGCGTGGCTCAGCGGTTGAGCGTCGACCTAGGATCCAGGCGATCGGGGTTCGATTCCCGGTCAGGGCACATGCCCCAGTTGTGGGCTCGATTTATTTGTCTCTCCCCCCCTCCTTTCCTCTCTCTGAAATCAATAAAGATATATTTTTTAAAAAAATAAAAAAATAAAGTAAAAATGTAGGAGGTAAAGAGATATACGTAGCCCTGGCTGGTGCAGCTCAGTGGGTTGAGCGTCACCCTGGGCACCAAAAGGTTGCGATCTGATTCCCAGTCAGGGCACATGCCCAGCTTTTGGGGCTCGATCCCTGGTCGGAGTGTGTGCGGGAGGCAGCCGGTCCATGCTTCTCTCTCACACTGACGTTTCTCTCTCTCTCCCCCATCCCCTCCCTCTAAAAAAAAGTCAATAAACACACACACATATATATATATATATATATATATATATATATATATATATATATTTTAAATGTGTAGATGCCAGAGCAGCGTGAGCTACACTTAATGCTCTAGGTGTGATCACTGGGTCTCCAAATAAAACCTTCCTAAACTGTCCTTCAATGGTCTGAAAAGCCGACGTCTCCGCACAGAGGGGCTCCTCTCCGCTTGGGGCCTCTCTCTCCCTTCTCCCACCTCCCCTCCTTTGCAAGAGTCCTCCGGACGCTTAGTCAGGGGACGCCTGTTGGTCAGAGGAAAAAGATGTGTCTTAATGAACCGAAACGGGGAGGCTGTGGAGTGACGGGCGCTTCCGAGGCGCCTTGTCGCTCACCCTCAAAGGCCCCGAACAACCGCGTTTTCTGAGCGTGATCAACCCAAGAGCTAAGCAGGGACTGGCCGTGCCGTCTCGCTCTATTTTCAGAACCAACCGCTGATGAGCCGAGTAATTTTAGTTCGAACCTCTGCTGACGAATTTTGGTACTTTGAACGTCACAACCACTGCGTCCTTGTCCCTAAAGGACTTTGAGGACACCCTCAGAGCTCTCTGAAGTTTGTGTTAAGGTCTCAAAAATCCCTACCGCTCACGAGCAAAGGGGATTAAAATCTTTGCCCGGCTGGTGTGGCTCAGTGGTTGGGCATCAACCCATGAACCAAGAGGTCACTGGGTCGACTCCCCGTGAGGACACGTGTCCAGGCCGTGGGCTCGACCCCAGTGTGGGGCGTGCGGGAGGCAGCCGATCGACGTTGCATTTTCACATCGATGTTCCTCTCTCCCTCTCCCTTCCTTTCTCTCTAAAAATCAACAAATGATTTCAATAAATAAATAAATAAAAAGCAACTCTAAAAAAAAATCTGATTGGCTAAAAAAACCAACGACCTTTACTCTCTACTCTTATTCTGATTTACTTGATTTTCTGACACTACCGAACATCACACCTGTTAATTTATGTTTATTTCTGCCTTCCCCATTGCTACGTGAGCTCCATTCAGGTGGCACCGAATCTGCTTTGTCTTCTGTCCCCAGAGCCTGGCATATTCCCAGCACACAGTCGGCGCACAGTACACGCTCCTGGAGTAAATGAACAAACATGAAATACGGGATGAATGGGCGAGCACGCCTCACAGTGCTCCGCAGCGCCTCGGGCATTCCTGAGGCCTAAAACCCAAACATAGCGATTCGTTCAACATTTTACACATCTGCGAGCTCCGAGTTGCTGCTCCCCGAGCAGAAGCAGTCCTCTGATAACGCCAGCACTGCCTCTCATTTCCCTGACCAAGTGCCCCCCACCTGCACAGGTAAGGCGTCCACGCTCCCAGCCTCCCCAGCAGAGGGGCCGGCGTGTCACACGAAAACGCATTTCCGCTCGGATTCCGTTTCGCAAACATAAATTCAAGGTGAGCTCCGTGGATGGTTTATAAACTCAAGAAAATAATACATAACCGTGGGAAAATAAAAACGCAGTGGAACCTTGGTTCTCAAACCTAATTCCTTCCAGAAGGCTGTTCGAAAACCAAAACAATTTTTCCCATTAGAAATAATGTAAATTGAATTAATCCGGTCCAGGCCCCCAAATGATTCCGTTTTCACCTTTCTTATATACGGCACATGTCTAATGTACTGTTTAATCTATAAACGAACGCTTTAAAAACAAAAAGGGCATGGAATATAAATGAAAATTCAACAAAAAGGAAAGGAAATGTGCAGTAAAAAATGAAAATTTAATAATAACAATAAGCAGAAAAAAACCACGAAAATATCCACAGCACAGTTTCCTGAGATGTTAACAGCGTGAGGTTCAGCGGGGAACTGACTCGCTCGCACGTCCTCGCCTGGCTGTGTCGCCTGAGAGACGCGTGACTGATCACACAGGGTTGTCAGGTTGAGAAGTGAATTGTTCAAGATGGGAGACGTTTGAGACTGAGGTTTATGCTACATTTTAACCGTGTAGCCTAAATTGGAATGAAATAATTCCTTTTTTTTGGTCATGTGCCTTATCTCCGTGAAGCTGTTTATTCTAAGGGGCCAGTTCAATGATTGTCAAGCCCAACCAGAGACCAGGAACCTGAATTGTGATCCAAACAAAAGAACAAACTGCACTAATCCCCTGGACCCGAAGCCAAACCCCGATGCAAACAGTTTACTGACGGGGACCCAGCCGGAGTTTGAGAGTCAACACTGCCCAAGGGCACCTGGGGGGCGTCCAACCAGGTAACCGGATCCAGGTATTTAAAAGCTTCTGGCCAGGCTCAGACTCAAGGAACAAATCAAATCACTGACCAAACCGGAATAAAACTAACGTTTCTTTACAGTGAACCGGGCCACGGAAGACACAATAGAAACGTGATTACAAATGCTCTTTTCAGCGCCAACACTGTAATACGGTGAGTTTCAGAGCAATCAAGCCGGCAATCATTTTTGCAGCGGAGACAATAACACCGTTTTCCTGGGTGTGTCCGGCGCGGAAGGAGGAAGCGAGGAGCTCGGGATGCGAACAGGGAAGGACCAGGAGGCTGACGCGGTGGCCACTCAGATGGGAGGCCCAACCGCTGCTTTGTTTTTCTTAATCTTCACCCCAGGATAAGAGTGAGAGAGAGAGAGAGAGAGAAACATCAATGTGAGAGAGGCACATTGTTGTTGTTTAAATATATCTTTTATTGATTTCAGAGAGAGGAAAGGAGAGGGGGAGAGAGAGAAACATCAATGATGAGAGTCACTGATCGGCTGCCTCCTGCACGCCCCTGACTGGGGATCGAGCCCGCAACCCGGGCCTGTGCCCTGACCAGGAATCGAACCCTGATCGCATGGATCCTAGGTGGCCGCTCAACCGCTGAGCCACGCCCGGCCGGGCAAGACACATCGATCGGTTGCCTCCCGCACACACCCGACCAAGGCCAGGATCAAGCCTGCAACCAAGGTGCATGCCCTTGACCAGCATCGAACCCAGGACCCTTCAGTCTGAGGGCTGACACTCTAACCACGGAGCAAAACAAGCCAGGGCCCACTGTCTTTTTTGTTTGTTAATCTTCACCCAAGGATATTTTTTCCAATGATTTTTTTTTTTTAGAGCGTGGGCGGGGGCAGGGGGGAGAGAGAAACATCCATGTGAAAGACACATTGACTGGCTGCCTCCCACCCGCCCCCCCGACTGGGGCAGGGGATCAAGCCTGCAGCCCAGGTACGTGCCCTTGGGTGGGAATCAAACCCAAGACCCTTTGGTGGGCAGGCGGACGCGCTAACCACTGAGCAACACTGGCCAGGGCTGAAAACCCAACCGCTCTTGCGACTGTTTCAGTTCTATGAAGAGACCTCAAGCCATGGGGAGGCCTCATATCCTCACAGCAAAACCAACCCAGAGTCAGCCGGACCCACGCTGGCCGGCGCCCGAGCCCCGAAACCTGGAGCCCAGGACGGCAGGACGGTACCTGTGGAGAGCTGGGTGGGGAGGGGGTTCATCTCTTTGTCCACCATCTTCTGGTACAAAGCCCTCAGGCTGAAAGGCTCCACGGTGAACGGCAGGGTCCCGGTGAGCATGGCGTACATGTTCACGCCTCTGAAAGAGAGACAGGCGCGTGAGAGCGGAGCGGGGCCCCGGAGAGGGTCACGGGGAGGGGGGAACGCGACGTGCGGTCCCGTCCATCTCTAGAACCTTCTCGGACCTTCAGAACCCTCAGCACCACACAGAAGCAGCCGCAGCGAAAGGTTGGGGCCCGAGGGCGGCGGCGGGGGCGGGGGCGCTGGGAGATGGGAGGACAGGTGCCCGTGGGTCTCTAAGGGCTGCCCCTCCGGAGGGCACACGATGCGGGAACTTCTGGCCGGAAGCCCAGACCAATCTAGATACCCAGGCGTGTCCGGGACCTCGAGTAAACATAGTTGTGTCATTATGTGGTTTTTCCAAGTGTGGTTTACAAGGTGGAGCCTGGAGGGGCCGGACCAAAGCCTGCAGCGCAAGACGGGCACCGGGAACAAGTCGCGGCCCGGCCAGCCTGCCCGGCGGCTCTGCCCTTTGAAATGAAAACCTCCCGAATCCGGGTTGGGCTGTAACCAGAGACATTCCTGGTGGGGGCGGGGGTCTCCTTCCCTCTTCTGTGTCTCAGGCTATTGTTTATTTCCAGAGGCCGCCACCCAGCCCTGGCCCGTATCTCAGCTGCGGCAGGAGTGCCACCTGAATGGGCCTCACCGCTCACATCCAAAGCCGATCCACAAAACAGCAACAGCAGCTCCTCGGAGGCTGTTTTCCTGACGTATGAGCCTAATATCATCCTGACGAGACCTCCTGATGGCGTGAAACTGCCGGAGAAGCAGCCCCGAGTGCTCAAAAGCCCCAAGGGAATGTGTTTTTTAAACAGGCCATAGGGTTTCCAGTCAAAACAAACCCCAGGAGACGGGCTGAAATTAATTAAGACCCCGGGGGCTCTACCCCAGGGAGGCCTGTCTGATTCGAGCTCTGGCGACAGGTACGGATGAGGCCCCGGCTGCAGCCAGAGATCACTCGCCAATCACAGGCACCGCTGGCACCAGGCCCTGCTCCGTAACTCACAGCCGGGTTAGGGAGACAGACGTACAGACACCTGCCGGCCGGTGAGCTTGCAAGTCCGCCCGGCCGGCTTGGCGCCCGGCCCAGCAGGATGACGCTCTGACCGGGCACAGCAGCGCAGCTCCCGGGCAGTGGCCACGGCACGTAATGGATGTGGCTCCTGTGAATATCCCTGGGTCCTTTCAGACTCGGTCATATTTAACTTGTAAGTTATTTTTGGTTTGTATCTGTACAGTCATAAATAAAAGGGCTTTAGTGTTATGTTCATGTACATCTTTAAATAAAAATTTAAATAAAAATAACAAGTCAAGAAGAAGGGTTACGCCCGGCTGGCGTGGTTCAGTAGTTGAGGTCGACCTATGAACCAAGAGGTCGCAGGTTCGATTCCCGGTCAGGGCACAGGCCCGGGTTGTGGGCTCGATCCCCAGTGGGGGGCGGGCAGGAGGCAGCCGATCACTGATGTTTCTCCCTCTCATCATTGATGTTTCCATCTCTCTCTCCCTCTCCCCTCTCTCTAAAAATCAATTTTTAAAAACATGTTTTTTTTTAAAAAAAGAGGAATTGCCAAGAACACTCCTCCTTTACAAGAAGCCTGCACAATACTCAAGCTTAGAGAAGACCGCTTCTATTTCCCTGCGACCTTTTCTATTTCCCTGTGACCTCTTCTATTTCCCTGTGACCTTTTCTATTTCCCTGTGACCTCTTCTATTTCCCTGTGACCTTTTCTATTTCCCTGTGACCTCTTCTATTTCCCTGTGACCTTTCCTATTTCCCTGTGACCTCTTCTATTTCCCTATGACCTCTTCTATTTCCCTGTGACCTCTTCTATTTCCCTGTGACCTCTTCTATTTCCCTGTGACCTTTCCTATTTCCCTGTGACCTCTTCTATTTCCCGTTCCTTTTAGGACACACAGAGCATCCTGCCTCAGGCGGGCGTGTGGAACAGAGCAGAACTCGACGGGAACGCTCCCGAGCACGGCCCACGTGCCGGTGGGAGCTTGGGGACGTGGGCCCGAGCGCCGGCTCTAAACCTTTATGGAAGTTTTTCTTCAGAGTCCTCGAGACGGCGAACCTTTCGTCACCAACTGGCTGCGAAAGATGACAGCAATCGCAAGCCACCGCCATTCTCCTCTGCCCGGCTGGGACCACGCACACAAGCAACAGGTGCTTGTCCTGAAGACGGTGCCAGTAACCTCTGTGGTCGGACCAGGGCCGGGCACGTGGTTTTCCTAGCAACTCCGACCGGTCATTTTACCAGACTCAAGAATTCCAGTCTCGGAAGAGTTTGTCACCCACAAAAACAGTTACGAGCCCTTGAAGGGTGCCCGCCTCCCTCACCCGGGGCCTCTTGTCTACAGAACGTGGGTAATGACGGTGTCACCTCCCGGGGGGTGTGAGGGTCGGTGGACTAAGTCTCAGAAAGTGCTGAATTCACTGCCTGGCAAACGGGATCATTGCTTCATCGCAAAACATTTAAAAGCAACATGAAACAGAAGCTACAGTGCGCATCGTGTTTGCCAAGTGCCAACGGGCACCTACGTTGATAGTCACGTGGCCCTAGAGGGACTTTAAGAGGGAAACCGGGTTGAGCATCTGAATCGCTCCCCTGGGGTTTCCATACACCTTCAATATCCGGGTAAAGAGAAAGCCAGTCCCTCTGACGTTGCGAAGTACGTGAGACTACCACGGAAAAACGTGGAACGCAGCTTATAAATCTCCGAAATCCCAGAGAATTAGCGCAGGGGCCAAAACATGTTCGCAATTTCCTGACGCGTCTTTTGCGACACGGCCCAGGGGCTTCCCGGCTCCTCCACAGCCGACGTGGGGCCCCCAAGAACCACGGACGGTTTTAAAGAAGAAATGATGAGACTCTGGAAGGCAAGAAGCAAACGCGATTCGGGTTTTTCCAGGCAGAAAGAAATACGGGTGAGCCGTCGTTGGGTGGCAGAAACCCCTAAGGTCCTGGCCAGTGTGGATACTCTGGTGTCAAACGAGAAAGAAAGTGATCCCGAGGGACGGCTGGAAGACCTGGGGAAGAGGCCCCGTAAAACAGGAACCCGGAAACTTCGTAATTACATCAGGAGCTCCGCTGTGGCACAGACACGTACCCTGGAGAAAAGCTGGGGTGCCACGTGCCACCCGAGAAGAAAGACAGAGTCCCAGCTCCCTGGGGACGTCGGGCGGCGACTTGAAGGAGACGCCCGGGCAGGGCCGCGGGCAGAGCCGCGCCCGCAGCGGAGGGTCCAATGAGCACTCTCGGGGCAGGAGGATGGGCCCCACGCGCGGCCTGCTCGCCGCAGGGAACCGCCGCGGACACCCGGGGGCCTGCGGTGCTTCCGAACGGAAACTGCCTCGGAAAGAATTCCAAACACCTGCGCCCAAAGGCCATCTCCACCCGTCTCTCAGCATCAACACAGCTCCCGGACCCGCGTCTCGAGTGGGGACAGAGGCACCCGTGCGGAAACTGTCAGACGTCACGACTGCTCCATTAACTGACCTGTTTCCACCAAGAAATCATTTTTTTTATGGAGCTTACAACGTTTTTCCATTTCCTTTCTGACCCCCCTCTTCTGTTTTAAACCCACGTGCTAACTACAAAGCAGAGGTCTTAGAGTTTACGACTGAAAAACCTCAGAAGCTAAAGGAAGCTTCTCTCTTAAAAGTCAAGACCCTAAAGGCCCCAAAGGTCCCCTCTTTCCATCTCCGCCTCCTGTCGTCCTTCGTTCCGAGGGACCTGAACGGCCAGCGACTGCTGTCCTCCCGGGTTTACTCTCGACAGCAGCGGAGGGGTCCGGCTGTGCTTCTCCAAGAACAGAGCCGGGGGCCTGGCAAACTCTCCCCCCCGAGCAGGGACGAATACATAAAGGTATTCATGTGGGGTCCACATATGAAAATAACGACCATCGGAAATGATGGAAAACCCCCAATGCTTCCCACTTCGTTGGTACCTCAGGTTCGCTGGAGGGGGTCTGGCCCGTCTGGGGAAGAGCTTTCTCTCCCACGGCCTCCCTCAGCGGCAGCTGGTTTTCCTTCTGCGTCGGTCTCAGAGCAC